AGTGACTCCGAACACGAAATTCCATTGGCGATGCAAAATTTAAGACAAACTCTTTGATCGATATTTGTGTCCATTATGAAATTCACAATATACATTATATATGATATTTCTGAAACCAGCGCTGTATTTAATATAAATAACAGATGCAACTCAAACTCCGCGCCAAAATGGAAAACAGTTGTGCCAATCTAACAATTACATAAAAACAAAAATTTGAATTTGGAACCATAAACAAATCATCCATTCGCGATACTTTTTTGAGTGAATGTAGGTATATGCGCATCACAAAGTACCTATTTATTTAGTTCTAAAAATAAAAATAGAATAAGATCATTATAAATGAAAATACCCGCCTATTGGGTTTTTTCCCACATAAAAACCGGGTTTTTTCCCAAATGGGAAATAACCTGGGTTTTTTCCCTTTGGGTTTTTTCCCACTGCCCATCTCTAAGCGCAACCGATAGTAGTCTTACGGACTTTTGACCTTTGACCGTACACCCGTAACACCTGAGGTTTTACAAGTGCGTTGCCTTTTTCCTCCTCTTATAATCTTCTGATTCACTTCGTTGCGGGATACAAGACAGTTACTCATGTCCCTGAGACGTTGGACTTCAGTGTTCCGGTGTTTCCATGGTTGTATCTACTGTAGATCCTGGTGCACAGGAGTTGCAGCGGTTTTGGGAGGTTGTAGCGGGCTTGTCCCATTTAAAAAAAAAAACGGTGCGTTGCCGGCTTTTTGGAGATTAGGAATTCAAGGATTATGGATTGGGGAGATTGGGGAAGGGGGTAATTGGTCCTCAACTGCCCTCACTCACACAACGAATCACAACGCAAGCGTTGTTTCACGTCCCTTTTCTAATCGTTGGTGGTATCACTCCGGTCGAGCCGGCCCAGCAGTGCCGAAGCATGGCGATCTAACACTTGAATTAATTAATTTCCCATTTGTTTCCAATCAGAATATTTCGGCAAGCCCCAAGGAGCGCTAGTGAACGTAGCGCTGGGCGGGTGTGCGGGCGCCATTGCCCAGACGGCGTCGTACCCGCTGGACATCGTGCGCCGGCGCATGCAGACCGCGCGGCGCCGGCCCGACGGGACCTACCCGTACAAGAGCATCGGCCAGACACTGGTCGTCGTATACAAGTGAGTTTTATATAATTTATAAGCTAACTAGCAAACCGCCCCCGCTACGTACGGGTGCAATGCTTATGTAATTTACGACATTACATTAGAAACCTCTAAATTTATCAATGTTCCTCTATTATATTATGCATGTAAATGACATATAAACCTTTCTTAAGAATCACTTTATCTATTAACAAAAACCGCATCAAAATCCGTTGCGTAGTTTTAAAGATCTAAGCATACATAGGGACAGACAGACGGCGGATAGCGACTTTGTTTTATACTATGTATACGTAGTGATATCTAAATTAATTACTATAGTTTTCGGCTTACTCCCGTAATTATTTAAGGAGGAACTCGATTAGTTGCAAGCTAGGGGCTCATATTCAGTAGGAGCGCGACGGTCGCCGCGTCGCGGGTCGCGAAATGCTGCTCATGAAGTCATGACTATGAGCCTCTAGCTTGGCTTGAAACTAGTCGAGTTCCTCGTCAAATAAATACGGGAATCAAACGAAAATATAATTAATTTAGTATGTCTCACAAAAGTTATACTATAGCTACTATTTAGTGGTACACTGTATATATAAAGCTTCCTCTGGTATCACTCTATCTATAAAAAAGAACACATCAAAATCTGTCGTATAATTTTTGAAATCTAAGCATACAGACGGTTGAAACCGACTTCTTATTATACCTCTACTATGTAATATGTCAGGATCACTTGATGGTAAGCAATCGGCGTCGCCCATGGCCACCTGGAACACCAGAGGCGTTGCAAGTGCGTTACCGGCCTTTTCGGGGTTGGGAATTTAAGGATTGGTGGGGGGTATTCTTATTTTGGGGATGGGGTAATTGGGCCTCCGATAACTTCACTAAGTTAAGATTAGGTTAAGGGGGAGTCGTGGAAGTCAACAACGCTAGCATTCTCAACAACGTCGGTTTTCTGCTCGACCGTGCGAACGAGTCGATATAGCAGTGCCGAAGCATTGTCCTCCCAAATGAATTTATTTAGAAATTTGTTAAAAACTCGTACAATATTTCATGTATTTGTAACACAACACCATCGTCTTCCAGGTGCGAAGGTTGGCGTGGTTTCTACAAAGGCCTGAGTATGAACTGGGTCAAGGGGCCCATAGCGGTCGGCATATCGTTCGCCACGTACGACGCTATCAAGAATACGCTCAGAGATGTTGCTGTACACTTCAATAGCTAGCCGAGGAGTGACCTTGGGATTGGGAAGGAGCGACCTTGGGATTGGAGAGGAGTGACCTTGGGATTGTGGAGGAACGAGTTTGGAATTGTGAAGGAGTGAATTTCAAATTATAGAGGAGTGAATTTTGAACTGTTGGAGGACAACCTTGGAATTATAAGGCAGTGACCTTGAAATTGTAGATTTGAGGCGCAAAAAGTAAGTTTTTAAAACTCTTACGACCAAATACTGAAAGGTTACTCAATTTGAAGTCGTACTCAAATATCGTGCCATCTCTGTCATGTAAATAGAACTAGCTGTGCCTGCGATTCGTCCGCGTGGAATAGTGATTCACAGCTCCTCCCCCGTAGTTGATAGCGTGATAATATGTAGCCTATATGTTGACTCGACCTGTTAGTAATATTCATGCAGAATTTGAAGTAAATCCATGCAGTACTTTTGGAGATCATCCCGGACATACATACAGACAAACAGACAAAAATTATAAAAACCATATTTTTGGCTTCAATATCAATTGTAGATCACGGCCCAAGCATTATTTAAAAGTCGCGGAGGAGTTAACGGGTTACCGGGGCTCCGGCTCGACGTGCAGGAGAAGGAACGGGGTGGTTTTTAGTCAGTAAGAGTCTGACACTCCCTCCCGCCTCCAGCTCGCCGTCTGCAGGCCCGCGCTTACGATCCCCGACGCCCGGAGTGTCCTTCGCGACGGCTGGGTTGTGAGGACGCGTCCCGCCTCCTCCTTAGCTAGCATGACTGCTTCGCAAAAGGAGGAGACGGCATCCCAGTCCCCCTCGCTCCGCATCATGAGCTGGATAGAACTATACTTGAGAGCCTCTTTGAATTGAGTTGCGTTTCAGTATTTGATCATTAACTTCTTGATTGGAGAGGAGTCATTTTGGAACGCCGAAATAATGGAGTATCCTTAAAATTATAGATTTGCCTAAAGCAAGTAAGTTATAAGAATCTTATATTGTCAAGAATAATTAACAGAAAACTCGAAATGAAATTAGATTTTTGTAAAAAAATTTGTTTATCTTTTAAATGGGTGTGTTTTGAGTTCTGTCAGTTAAGATGTAGTAACTTGAAGGCTGCAGGTTCGATTCTGTGTCATTAAATAGTTTTTGAAACTAAGGCAACGATCAAAATGATGTTTCAATTTTTAAAATAAATATTCCAAGGTTTTTTATTTTCGCTCCGATATTACCACATCCTGTATAATGTCAAATGTCAAATGTCAGATGAGCTGTCAAATGTCAATTTGTTAAAATGTCATGATATTATCGACTGTTAAGTATTTTGTATAGATTTATATCTTCCAAATAGGTATGTGTGTGTAAGCGATAATGAACTTTATAGCAATGTAAATAGTTTATAGTATTGTGTGGTACTCAAAATCGTATGTCAAAATCGATGTTAGATAAAAATCAACTCTGCTTCTTAGTGATTAAAGTTGATATTTGTGTGACAAAGATAGTTTTGTTTCGTTTGCAAGTCTATCATTGTACATAAGATGTTATTTATCGCGTTCTCTGTCTGCATTATATTCTCTATCTTAGTCTAGCACATATAAAATGTCTTAAGAACGAATGAGATAGCAATATTAGCTAACTTTACTAAATAATATACCAAACTATGTTTACAGCTCAATCATTCAATTTTGAACTCTAACCTCATACACATAAATACTTCACAAGAAGCAAAAATAATTATGCAACTATTGTAATTTGATGCAGTTACGATAAACCTTATTTTAAGAGCGATAGGGGTCAAAATTGAGTGATAGAATTGTTAAAAAATCTATTTGTAGTTAAGCTCTGATTTCTGATTAAGTTATCATTAGTTTTAACTGACAGATATTAACATACTCATACAGCGAGTGACAGTCCAGTGCTGCACTACGAGTCTCCTCTACATAAGAGGGTGTGTCACAATCTCCGCAGGCAGGCGGGTTGGAGGTCGCAGTATACAAGGTTCAGGGTTATCAGACACCGCTGCTGCACGGTCTCTGTCTAATGTGTAGTGTCTTAGTCGGGTATACGACACCCGCGGGAAGATTGGTGGTTGATAATTGTATTCTGACTCAATGGTCACAATTATTTTTAAATACTTTGCCCCACATTAGTATACTCTCCTGTATCGTTGATACGTTTACAAACATACAAGTTCACATACACATGACACCCAGACCCGGAACAATAATTTGTGGATCAGACAAAAATTTGCTCCGAGCGGGAATCAAACTCGCGACACGTTTCGCGGCAGCCGACTGTCCAGCCACCGCACAATCCATGCAGTCTATTATATGATATCTGTCAGTTAAGCTATCAGAGACTTAATCAGTAGGTAGTTGTCTAAATAGTAGGTAATTCTAACCTTCGATGTTCTTAGTAAAGTGACTGAATACTGACAATAATTTAAATGTATTGTAAACTTGATATTATTGCACGAAACCCGTTATTAAACTAATAACATCTCACCTTTTTATCCCTGAAGGGGCAGGCAGAGGTGCACATTTCGGCACTTAATGCCAGTGTACAATGTAACACCCACTTTTCACTATTTATGTTATGAGTCCCATGTAATAAGGGGTAAGTCTATTGCCATATACCGGGCACAATTCTATGCTCTAAACCATTAGCGACAATAATTTCACGCGCTCTGGAGATCGAGACATCGACTGAATGTCCTAAATGTATTCAAAGATTCTCTTGAAGTTTTTAAAAAATGTCATTTTGGGAATCACTATGAATAAGGTAATTTCCTAAATTTTATTTTAATGTCCGTCTGGTACATTAATTTGAAACTTTAGACACGTATTTTTTCTTTTCTCACAAAATTAAATGCTTTCGCCGATATATTGATTTGAAATATCGTGTGACGTCACAGCGTGTCACATTTTGTAGCACGTTATGACGTAACGACCTCCCACTCCTAAACTTAGCACCATTTTATCTAAGTATTGCAACTTAATACGAGAAAATAAAAAATACGTGTCTAATATTTTTTCACTGTCTAACTGACGGACTAATTAGAGGTAGATTTTTAATTTTAATACCCTGGAAACTACCCAATTCTGCCTACCCTCAAAGCACAAAGGTGTGTATGTATGAAATACTGTTAATGTATTTATATAGTTTAGTTTATTAGTTTATAAAATCCACTATATCTAGTCTAGAATATAAATATAATATATAAATATATAGATTGTTATATTTGGCTGCAATTTACGTAACGAAAATACTCTAATTAATAGCATTATTTTATATTACGCACGCTTAAATAATATCTATAAACCTTTTTCAGAAATCACTCTATTTATTGCTAAAATCGCATGAAAGTTCGTTCAGTAGTTTTTAAGTTTATCACGCACAGACAGACTAGTAAATAATGTGTTTTATAATATTATAATAAGTTGCAACAATATAGTCTTGTGATTATTTAAAATCAAGTATAATAATTATATATAAAAATCAATTTTAACTTATATAAGTTACTTGCGCGCGGTTTCACCCGCTCTGCTCGGCCCCAATTGTTCGTATCGTAATGTTTATAGCCTATAGCCTTTCTCAATAAATGCATTATCCAATATAAAAGGAATTAGTCAAATCGGGTAGATATTTCCCAAGATAAGTGCGTGTGACAAGATTGTTACATTGTATATGCCAGGCCTTTCAGGCAATACTGGCTTCATTAATGGGGGTCATCCATAAGTTACGTCACACGAATTTCATGATTTTTTGCCCCTCCCCCCGTCCTTGTCACAGCTAGTCACATTTGTGAGACCCTCCCCCCCCCTAGTGTGACGTCACATTTTGCAGAATTACGTATGTATAGAAATTACTGAATGTGAACAGCGGTTCCGAAATCAGTTTTATTTAAATTACTTTAAAAAGTCATTAATACAATTATTATATTTCGTGTTCTATAATCGTTTTTGAAATGTGACATCATAAAGTTTAGGATCCCTCCCTCCCCCTTGTCACACTTCGTCTTCCACCCTCGCTACCCCTTAACGTGTGACGTAATTTATGGACGGGCCTTTATGTTTAACTAGCGACCCGCTCTGGCTTCACACGGGTGCAATATGCATGTATTATACATACAAACCTTCCTTAAGAATCACTCTATCTTTTAAAAAAAACCGCATCAAAATCCGTTGCATAGTTTTAAAGATCTAAGCATACATACGGACATACAGCGAAAGCGACTTTGTTTTATACTATGTAGTGATGTTATAGATAATCACTCAGTTTTATACTAATTATATTTTACATTTTATACATATTATATATACACTTATAAGTTGTTTTTATATAAAATTGTAATAATTTTAAGCCCAAAATATATGTTATATAAAGTTAGGAAATGTGTTATACCTCTATTGTATAGTTATCTAATTGTTTTTATATGAATATTATGTTTTTGTATGAGATTATCGCTTTGTATATAGGTTTAAATGTTAAATTTTGAATGGATTTTTGTCTAAGATATATTTTTTAGTAGCAAAAGAATATACTTTGTTAGGAATAAGCTAAAATTTTAGACCAAAAACTAATATATATATCTTTTATTTAACTCGCAATGTATGTGTACCACGGATGGGGCCCAACAGGGCTGATGCCGATTCGGAGTCGCGGAGAACCTAACGGGTAACCGGGGCTCCGGCTCGACGTGCAGGAGAAGGAACGGGGTGGTTTTTAGTCAGTAAGAGTCTGACACTCCCTCCCGCCTCACCCAGGCGGGAGCACTCATTCGATGATTTCCCCCCCTTAAAAATAATGTATGTATGTCTGAAGTGGGATCTTGTAACTGAAGTCTTTATCTTTCAACCAAAAAAAAATTCATTATTATTTCTATTTCACTATTGTTTTTATTACATATTTTGCTACTAAACTAGATATCTTATACACTTAATATATACTTAAGTGCAATATATTTAACTCAAATTTTAAGTTAATATTCATCCTATATTCCTAGTCTGTCACTCACAGAGTTTTAAACAAAAGAAACTCGCGTCGTTTCATTTAAATTATATACTTCAATAGATATTATATAACTGTAGTATAATTGTTAAGAAAAGTATTATATAAATAATAAATATTATAGTTATAATTGCAAATTTATTGTTAAACAACTGATGATTGGTGTTTTAATGACTTTATAATAGTTATATTAAATTTATCTTGCCTCGACTGCCTCGTCGGCCGAGTGGTCGCAACTGCGACTGCCGGCTAGAGGTCTCGGGTTCGATTCCCGGGTTGGGCAAAGTATTAACATTACATAACATCACGCCTCTTATCCCCGAAGGGGCAGGCAGAGGTGCACATTATGCCACTGTACATTGTAACACCCACTTTTCACTATTCATGTTATGAGTCCCATGTA